TATTGTTGCCTCATTGTGCAGTGCTTATAATCAGGCCTGTTCTTTCCCTGCCTTCACATGTCAACACAGCTGCTGTGACTGAAGAAGATCAATTACAACTAAAGATGTTCCCAGGAGACCAATCAAGGCTGCTCATCTCATGGGGAGTGTTTAAAGCAGACTTGTTCACACTTAAAAACAGAAATGAGTCAATATTAGATAATGAAAGGCGGAATGGATGCCATAGAATAATTTAAGTATCAAGGACAGGTCTCCTCTGGTTAGTCTGGTGAGCATTTTGAGTTCTTTTCAAGTGAAATTATAATCTTAAGTACCCAAGCAACATTCGGCGAACTCTCCTGCGTACCTCCATTGTTTGAATGGTTTTCCATATAGATACGTCTTCCAGCTCATGCACATCAATTTTTGACCCGCCAATCCCCAAACAATCATCACTTGGTGTTAGACTATACAAGCTCTATTTACATAAGGTCAGAGTATATCAAAGAGTATTTGTTCCAAATTTTGTTCAGTACCATTTAAACCACATCACTTTGGTTCTAACATTAAGAACACACAAAAATATCTTGAACAAAGCAGCTTCACATCACATCACACTTTAATTTAAATAAGTCTGTCCGGTAATCATTCATTTACTGTATTATTTAAATGAATAATTCCAGACAGAGAATTATTAGTTACTCTATATTCCAGTCTTTAAGTGAAACAGATAAAAAGTTATTTAGATTAGGAGAGATGCATTGCCTATTTGTTCCCTGCATATCAATTATTTTACAATCAACAGGCTACAAACACGTTATAATGTTTGGCATTGAAATTAAAGGATGCAATATAAATATAACCTAATGTTATATTACTCTTGGATTAACATGGATTCGTTTTTTAAATCCTATAAATAAAGTGATGTGTGTACAATTACCAACAGGTCAAATCCAGAGGTGGTCCTTTAGGGGACAAAAACACTCAATAAAGCGGAAACCATGTATTCAATGAGCAATGGTTTATAAACACAAACACCAGTTTTATAGAATTCTTTATGGTGATCAATTAGTACAATACAACAAGGTCGTTTGAGGTACATTTAAATGATTTGCTAGCCCTGTTTGTTAGCGAATAACTAGCCACTACTCGTTTCTGCCTCTTCCCTGATTTATATTCCAGTAATACGTTAATGGCATCAACAGGTTTCAGCAGCAAAAAAAAACTAATCCGTGTTGGTGTGAACACTGAGTGTTATTTAGACACTTGAGTGTCGCAGATGTGGTCTCTTCTCAACAGGAAACATCGCGATATATTGGTATTAAATGTGCATTTAACAGAGTATCTTCCATTTTTTGCCTGCCACCGCTGCTGACTTGCATTGTATTAGCATGTAGCTAATGTGTGTGTCCGTGTGTGTGTGTGTGTGTGTGTGTGTGTGTGTGTGTGTGTGTGTGTGTGTGTGTGTGTGTGTGTGTGTGTTTTCGTCTTACCGTCAGTTGTCAGCAGGTTCATGCACAGCGGACAGCTCCCAGGTACTGAAATGCTCACAGCTCCCTGAAGCCCCGCCTGAGAGGGGCGGGACCGGCGGCTCTGATTGGTCCTTTGAAGTGCTCGTTGTGATCAGCTGTTGGCTGTGCAGAGTGTCAGACGGACTGTTTCTGTGTAAATAACATAGGTGTGTGTGCGTCTCCTCTCATGACTCCCTCCAGCATCATGTATGAGCAGCCTATATTAATGAGATCCTGATCATTTACTGCGCCATCAGCTGTCCGGACTGTTAACTCCACTCTCCTCACATAAAAACATAAACAGAACTAAACAAACCAGAACTGTGATTACATGATGCACACACACCACACAGTCCATCTGCACATTGCACTTTGACACCCTCACACTTTACACTGTTTACATTATTCTATATTCTATATTTTGTATAGTCAAATAATTATTTTTTATAATTTTATATTATATTTCTATTTTACTGTATATATGTGTTTTAGTCATTTGAGTGTTTATTGCATGGCCTTGCGGAACAGTCTTTACATTTCACATGTGACAAATAAAAATCTTGAATCTTGAATCACTTTGTGACTGGATCATGGTTTGAAATGAATCTAGATTCAACAAATAACACAAACAACAAGCCAGCTGTTTTTAGTAGCCTAATAGTATTTGGTTTCAGACAATAATACAGCAAACTAAAAATTGGCAAAAATAGCACAAAAATAAACTTATCTCATTATCCTATAGAACTCATGTTTAGGCTACTTTTAGTGTAATTTGACATGTGCTTTTTATGTTTCCAATATTTCACAATATTTTCTACCAATTAAAACGCACTGTTTTCTTTTTCCATTGGTGCTTTTCAATTCAAATAACTTAATTTATCCGTTAGGAACTTCATTTGTTTAAAAGAGCATCAGTGCGCATACAGCTAGACACAAAAAACAACAGCAGAAACACACACATACAAGTGGCTCTATTAAAAGCATGATAAATAGGTCATAAGTAATTGTTATAAGCGGTTAAATGAGTGGTCTTTAAAATAAATAAGAAATAGATCATTTGTTCATGAGCCTGATAGATGTGGGAGCAAAGCTTGACATGGCTCGATTAGTCCGGAAAGTGAGAGATCTGTATCTGTGGCCTGAGTTTCTAAATAAACCACTATTTTAAGGTTCTTGTCCCCAGTATACTGAGTGTGCTGGATGTGTTTAACGCTGGACGTGATGTTTTCCTCAAGTCCCAATGATCACAAACCGTCAGGGGAGTGCTGCCAATCATTTTGAATGACAAGTGGTCATTTTTATATTTTAAAGTATACAAATGAACTGCATCTTTGCTAAACATCCCCTCTACATTATGTTAATTACAGAACTAATGATTTGAGGAAAAAAAAACTTTGCTGTTTTGGTTGTTCTTGCAGTTGTTTATCCTCCATGTTTTACGTACCTCAGTCTGAACTCTTCATTAATATGTTCAGGGATTAAAGCAAAAGAAAAACAAATGTATCAAACAAGTTACAGAAGGACTTCCCACATAAAACGACACCTTTATTTTCTTTGAAAGCTTGAGATCCAGGACAACAGATAAACCTTACTTGTGTCTTCTTTTAACATATGAATGTCTGAACAAGATGACCTACAGCAGTCACGAGCATTGCATGCCTATATCAACTGTCAGCTGGTAGTGTGTTTCAGCAAACTCCAGAGATGTGAAAAATATAAAACTGTAGAAAAGAAATTCAGGAAGGGGGGCCTGTGGGGGATTCTCCCTCAGAAGAAAAATGAAATAATTGTAATATTTAAATCGAGATTGTTGAAGCATTTTGAGATTAGGACAGTGGAGGTAAGGCTACTCTGTACTTTTCCTTCAGCTGCTTAAAGTAACAACACAGAAATAACCTCTAACAATACCCACCACCGCACTATTGTCTCATCTAGTCTGGTACAAATTAGCCTTTCCTTGTGTTTACTGTTGATATTTAATGTTTTACTTTTTGCTAAGAGAGCACAGTTCACTAAAGTCAAATTCCTTTTGAGTGTAAGCATACCTGACCAATAAAACACATTTAACACTGCACTGAACATTACAGAGGCAAGAGAGCAAAAGCATCAGACTTAACTCTGGAGAACTAAAGAAAAAAGTTGTTACTTTGGAAAAATGACCGTTTAACAGAGTATTTATTACATGATCTTATTCAAAGTTTTGAAGCATTCAGTCCTTCACTTTGTTATTTCAGTTGACACAGCTGAACAGGGCCGTAACCAGGGTTTAGAAAATAGGGAGGTGCAGAGTTTTTTCTCTTAATGTATCATATTGAAGGCATTACGGGGCACTCAAAATTCCCCTACAGAACATTTTGAGTAGCTTACATTTCTTTTCCTGCATTCTGGTCAGTTTTGATTCACCAGTTTGTGTCTTTTCTGCAGAACTTTATGATTCTTATTTTGTCTTTTACACAATAATGAAGGCATTTACTGAATACTTTTATAAACGTGGACTGGACAGTTGTTGCAGCCCTGCAAAGTTTCTTTAGCCTATACAAGTAACCTATATAAAGCTGATATATCATTTAGTGTGAAATTATTTTGTTTTGTTTATGCACTTGTAAGAACAGTATACAAAATGTAAAAGTAAACACAATCCAGATTGAGACACATGGTCATACAGTGATCTTATTTTGTTTTTCTGAGTTGTGTTTGTTTTTGGGGTCAGGACACTTTGAAAATACTCAAGTGTGATAATCAAACAAGGTAAAAGCAATCTAGCTCTTCATACATTGAATGATCGGTAACAAATATTGCTGCCTTGTTTTTTTAAATTCCAAGGTCCAGACATCTGTGTCCTCATACCTGGTTACAAAAAATAATCTGAGTCCATTGTGTTTGTCTATTTTGAATAAAAACTTCTGAAAAGTTTGTCTTGGGGAAAAAAAAGAGGAATAAAGTAGATTGCTAGTTTTGTAGGACATTCAAAATAACTAAACTTCAACACTTAAAATGATTTGCTAATGGTGCTTAGTGAGTTAGTTTGAGTCAGAATCAGTTTACTTCAACTCCTTGTATTTACCTTCCATTTTATTTCTATTAGTTTTTTTTTAAAGCAGTCCCCTGGGTATATGGCCATGTAATGGTTGTTAAACTTCCCAGGTTCAACTTGAATTTACAATTGTGAATGAGTTTGTTTTAGTTGTCTAACTTTGATGTCACTTTTGGAATAATTGTTCTCACTTTGCCTCATTGAGTTAGAAACTGAGATAAACATCAGATTTGCAGAGGGGAATAGTTCAATTATGTTAGTTAACAAGTGCTACTTTTACCACTTAGATGTGCCTCTCAGCCTGAGAAAAAGGAGTTCTAATCACCCCCCCCCCACTTCATCAATATAATATATCATGCAATAAGCCAACTTTAGTATCCACCAGCCCATTTAGCTCTTAACTACCAAACTTAAGAAATGCTGTGATTAGCATCTCAAACCATTACAGTCAACAAACTTATTATTGATATACAAAAATGTTTTATTACAAAAAGAAAATTCGTTCTACATGAAAGTTTTCAAAGTTCCACATTAAAAATGGCTGCGAACATCTTTAATAATCAAACTACAGATAACCCCTGGTAGTAAAACGACAGTGAAGATAACAGCACCACTAAACAAAACAAAAGCAGTGCTTCCAGAGACGAACACATTTTTTTAAAAACTTTACTGATTTTACTACGGTCCACTGCCTGTATAGAAGTCCATCATATCGTCACAGTAAATCCATGTGGCTGGCAGTTTGGAGAGCAAAGGGGATTTAAAGTTGGAAAAAATCCAAGTTCATCAGAAAAAATAATATTAAAACAAAATAAAAAACATCATCCCTGAATTTAAGGAGGAATACATGTCTGATGTCCTACAGAAACAGACCAACAGTGCAGACATACTGTTGGAGCCAACCACAAATACAAACAGGAGTTAAACTGAACAATGCATTGCGAAATCCACCTCCATCAACAAACTGCTTAGTCGTCATCCTCATCGTCATCATCCTCGTCTTCCTCATCGTCGTCATCATCATCGTCATCATCATCGTCGTCATCGTGAACAGGAAGTGCTTTCTTGCCAGCAGGTCTGCCCGGCCCACTCTTCTTACCAGCATCGCTCTTCCCTGAGCCACACTTTGCTCGATAGGCAGCAACATCCTGATGCAAGAAGTGAATCATGTTTAGAGAATGTCATCACTGTATGCTGGATTATGCCAGCAGTATTGTTGGGTACATTTGTTCAACATTGCATACAAAAAGTGAATTGAAACGGTGCCAAACCTTTTCATATTTCTCCTTCAGTTTGGCTGCCTTGGCAGCGAAGGGAGCCTTGTCTTTATCAGTCTGTTTGCTCCACAGCTCACCAAGCTTCTTGGCTATGTCACCAATCGCGATACCAGGGTGCTCCTCCTTGATCCTTGGGCGGTGTTCAGAGCAGAACACGAAAAACGCAGATCTAGAGGATGGTGAAATAATTTAGCACCAGACAAACTCCTGCTAAAATAGATTTCTTTTAATAACCACAAATATGGGGTTACTTACGGCGGCCTTTTGGGTGCATTAGGATCCTTCTTCTTCTTCATGCTTTTGGCGCCTTTAGGTGGGATGTATGTCTTCATTTCTCGTTCATAGCGGACTTTATCATTCTTGGCCAAATCCTCAAATTTCACTTTCTCCTTAGCTGACATCGTCTAAAGAATAATAAAACACCAGTTCAGTAAATGACCCAACACAGACTGTCCAAACACACACACATACATGTATATATATATATATGCTATTTTTGTAGTATTTTTAAGACACCTGATCACTTCAGGTTTTTTTTTTTTATATAAAATAATATAGCTATATAGTAAAATTATAAACTCAAAATTCAGACTGCAAAACAGACAGGAGGTTACATAACCTGCACACTACAGAGGGAGGCAGAGGGTCATTCAGGGTCAATATTAGGCAACACTCAACATTAGACTGTTTAGACCTTTTAGTCTGACGTGCACTCATAATAAGATAATACACTTGCCATAACTAATATTGTTAATTTCTTACCTTCCATCTCTCAGAGCATTTCTTGGAGAACTCTGAGAAGTTCACACCGGCCCCTGGGTGTTTCTTCTTGTGCTCTTCGCGGCAGGTAGCGACAAAATACGCGTATGAGGTGGTCTTTCCTCTGGGCTTACTTGGGTCCTTCGCCATGGCTGCAATTCACCTACGGATTAAGGAAACAGACGAAGAAGAAGTTTTACTCAATAGCTTGTGATATAACGTTAAAACTTAAAACACAACTTAAATAAAAAGCCAAAACGTGTTAAAACGAAATATCGAAACGTTTTGGGGCGTATTTAGTTAAATGGAGCACAGAAACAGAGCACACAGTCACCAGGAGCCGTTTTAAGCTCTAATCGGATTTCTTCTTCACTGTGACAAAAAGACGCTTACTCCATTTTGGATCTTCCCGCGTAAAGTTTACCAGCGCCAAAACCTCGCCCCAACAAAGTCAGCTAAAATATTTAGATTTGCGTTTATGCAACTACATGTGTTGTGTTAAGTCTACATTAGTGAAGAAAACCTGAGGTAGCCTTGAACAAAGTGGGATTTGACAGAAACTTTTTAAAATGGTGGTTACCATCGTGTAGCAGCTAAGCTAGCAAACCAAATGGCGTTTCAGCTGCATGTTGCGCACACAGCATTAGAACAACTTCAGATCCTCTACAGAGTCAGATAGAGGCTTTAAAACTTAAATTTCGGATTCTATCTTAATAAATACATCGGCTTTCTTCGCATTTGTTTCAGCGAAAGCATTGATTTAATTCAATATCACGTAAATTTTCACATAAACGCGATCGTGGGTCAATTAATAGTTACACAAGTAAGACCTAGTTCTTCCAAGACGATTCGAAACATCAGGCTAAAATAATGAATCCTATGCGATTAAAAGCTGATTTGGCTTAACGTGGAGGCCTGAAAGCAGCAGCTTACCTGTTCTCAGCAAGTCCAGTAGTAAACGACTGAATGAGGAAGAAAGCGCAACTGTTTTGTCGCTGCCTGCGAGGCCGCACTAACTTAACTAGAACTACTTTTAGAACTCCGCCCCGCCGCCCGCTGATTGGTCCGAGACGAGCACTTAAATTTGAAAGTAGGGACAAAGAGAAATGCGGTCCTGCGATTGGTTCAACTGCTTGCGAACAGGACATCAAGTTTGTGTGCGAAGAGTGTACGCTGATTGGTTGAACTGGGGTTTTAAACGTACGGCGGGAAACAACTCCTTTGTTTCCTCTGTGAGTCTAAACTGAGTCTAAACCACAGACTGAACAATGCTCATCTGTTGTTGTTGTTGTTGTTGTTTGTGTGTACGCTTTAACCGTTTTCAGTATGACACAACAGAAACAGAAACAACTAAAAGCAGCGGGAGTGTGGTTAAACAAGCTGCGGGAACAGTCTATGAAACAGACACAACTCATACCTCTTTTTAGGGTTAAGCAAGGAAGCATAAAGGACAGCTTTCCAAAAGCTTTTAAAAATACAACATATCTGTGTACCTGCTTCACCAAGTGACAAGTCTAATTTATTATGTAGCCTAAGCCACGCCAGTTTATACTTTCAAAGATAAAGATCAACTTTATTGATCCCCACGGGGAACATTTTTGCATTAGAGCAGCTCAAGAAAACAGGAAACAGGAATATAATTATTAAAAATAAAAATGTAAGTTAAATATCAAACATATTAACATACATATGTATTACTTAACTATGGAAACCAGTGAAAAATACAGCCCTGCACTTTGGAAAAGCATTAATGAGGTCATGAAAGACATTGCATTAACAAAGACAGGTTTATTTTTATTATTATTTTTTGTCCCTATAGGCAGGAATATGCACATTTCTAATAGAAAGAACATCAAGAACATACTAAACAACCACCAAAATATACTCTGTTAGTAATAGTCTAAGTCTACATAACCTAGTGATTTGTGTATCCTGTAGCCTAAAATTACCAGGAGCAGCAGGGTTTGCTATACATTTTTTTTTCTCAATGAAAGTTGAAAATCAACTCACACTCAGTGATAGATCAGCCTGTTGGTTCCCTTTTTATTGTCTTGGTTCTTATTATTACTAAAACGTCCCTTTCATTAAGACAATTTACTGAAGTGATTCTTATATTTGTAAGTCTTTGCCACATATAAATTATAAACACCAGGATAAAGAACTAGCTAAATGAAATGTATTCCTGCGCACAGGCACATCCTTAAAATCTGGGCATTTTATGTCTTCTAACATGTGATTACATGTTCTAAATAAACACAACCCACAATATTGATAAAGATTGTAAAAAAAAAAATCATAGAAAGTACAATATCATTTACGTTTTGACAAACATTACTTTCCAGTCTGTAAGTAATTACTTTATGGACACAAAAATTAATGTTTTTTTTTTAAACATTCTCAGAAAAAAGCAGACATATTGTCTGTGTTGATATGAATCGTAACAGGCTCATGGTTCACATTTTAAGCTTCTAATACTAAAAAGAGTCAAACATGGTCAAGGTTTGTAGCCTGCTGTCACATCTGTTTGCAGGGTAAACTTCACCAGCCACACCGCTTTAGTCAAAAGATGTTAGGGTCAATACAAGGATGGAAAGTGCATCTCTGTCTTCAAAGTAACTCTGTCGCCTTAGAAAAATATAACAATGTGTTGTCAGCTGACACTTTTGTTGTGGCCGGAATCTTTATATTGAAATCTAACAGCCTGCTGATGGAAACTCCTCACATTTTTATTTAGAGGGTTGTTTGTGGTTGTTTGTGGTCAGTGGTTCATTTTTCAGCTGGGTATGCTGATGAAGAAATATGACAAAGCATCCGCTCTCTTCTAAAACAAAAACTCAGTTTGATGCAGGAATTCATTTTTTCAGGATTTAAGTTCTTATCCTTGGTGCACATGAATATCAGGATCTGTACGACCTGCCTGACTGTGGTCTCCCGCTGTGAGGAGCAGAGCAACAGGTATGGAGAATCTCCTGAGCAGACTGCCTGAAATTATCTGGATATTTTGCAAATCCAAAAAATGTAAGTTTGCTCATGACAGCAACAATGTAGTTGCTATTCTTCACACACAAAGATACACACACCTGTGTGTCTATATATTGAATTTTGTTTGTCAACGCAGTGCTAATGTTTGTACATGGACATTACTTGTATTCTGCTTCTGGCCTTTATAACAATAAATGACTATATAAATGTTGTATTCTTATGTTGCCAAAATATGTGTGTGTGGGGCTGTGCGCACACTAACCCTCTCCAGCTTGGAGAGTGTCTCTTGCACCCTTATTCTGGGGGTCGCCACAACTACTACTACTTCTATATTATATTGTTCTCTTAGTTTTTGCTTTGTTTTTTGCGTCTTTGACTATTTAGAAAAGCGCTATATAAATCTAATTTATTATTATTATTATTAAGTCACTGGTTTTCACATTTGAGTTGTGAGGATTCAGTTCACACTCCGGTGCAGCAGGAGGCAGCATGCGGCTTCCTGTTGCGATATGTTAGCAAATATTAAAGATGACGAAAAAGCCCCCCCCCCCTCTCTCCCTCTCTCTCGCTCTCTCTCTCTCTCTCTCTCTCTCTCTCTCTAGTATCCTACCTATGAGTAATAGTAGTATTACGTGTTAGTCAGTCAAGCAGCTGGATTATTTTGTTAAAACTAAACAGAACAGAAGACTACTCGAAACAAACCGACATAGACATTGAGGACATACTGAGACATCACACTGCGGCAGTAAAATAACTTGTGTCCACATTAGGAAACAGTGTTAAAGTAGCTCATTGAGAAACAGAACTAGAAGAAGATGGGTGAAGTGGACAAGAGCACTCTCTGCCTCTTTGACGTCGACGGTACATTAACAGCAGCGAGACAGGTAATGGATGTCTGTGTTTGTTTAAAGCTTCTCACAGCTTGCTCCATTCATACACAAAATGTCAATGAAACATCCGGTTACACGTCGTTGTTGTAGTTCCCCCGAGCTGTATATTGTTCCGCCGATGGTTTCCATCTAAACACAGTTCCGCCCGGAACGTTTATCAGATATTTAGTGGGACGATTGAGTGTTTATAATTAACATACCGGTAATACCATACGCTAATTTATTTATTTGTTAGGGACAGTGCATATTAATGAACAGCTGTAACAATTACAGCTGTAAAAATGCCAGATTATAGCAGAAGTGCTAGTTTCTATCTGTTGTCCCTAGGCAGGTAACAGAGAAAGACAAATTTACAAATAAATTACAAATAAAATACAAATACAAAGGCACAAGTGACACAAGACAATAATATAGGTTAAAGGTGTTCACAGACTTGGTTTTCTTCCACTGTTTGAGGTGTGTTGTGAAGGTGTTGTCTGGTTTAAAGCGTCCAAAATGATTATCTTTTTTTTTGACAGGAGTTTGCTATAAAATTTGCAAATCTTGGAACAGCTGGCTCTATGGACATTCAAAAATATTAAGTTCAGCTAGCATTTCCCAACAAGTAGAACCAGTTTCAATTTATAACCTATGTAGAACAATATCATTTACACGTGCTTTCAGACCTAAACAGACAATTAAACAAAATGTAAACCAAAGATTCATCATCAGAAGGTTATAATCGGGTTTCCTTCTGTCAATGAAAACACCCACCCACCCAACATACCCCCCACCCCTATATTTGGTCCTGCTAAGGAACACACATGAAGACCAGTACAAAGTACTAAACAGATTCTTCAGAAATGGTTGAGAATCAGGTTGACTGTTCACATGAATCCTGATCACTAAAATACATGAACACTAGTCTTGCACAGAATGTAGACTTGGATGATGATGCTTGGTCTTGTTGCTGTTATGTTTTTGTTTTTTTTATTGTTTATCTATGATGTCATGTGTTTTGTTTGTTTTCAGCGTGTAACTCCTGACATGGACCAGTTCCTCCAGAAGCTGAGGACTCGGGTTCGAGTCGGGGTGGTTGGAGGTTCAGACCTCAGCAAGATCAAAGAGCAGCTGGGAGAAGATGGTTGGATATACAGACATGGATCAGAAGCTTTATAGTGGGGAATCAAAATATCCCTCTGTACTGTATGTAATAACTTTAACACTGTTTTTTTCTAACATGTACAGTTATCAAGAAAATGGACTATGTGTTCGCTGAGAACGGACTAGAGGCGTTTAAAGGTGGGGAGTTCCTCTCTGTCCAGGTAAGATTGACTTAAACTGATTGATTGTAAACATGTTTAATGATGTATCCCGACGTTTACGCATGAGGTTGATTTAAAACAAATTGAAAGGAGTTGAATGGAAAGCCTTTATTGTCATTGTATGACAGTATACAACGAGGTGTTCTGTTTAGTGATTTCTGCGTGGAAAGATGTAGTGAGGGTTTGATTGAACTGTTCATTTTGTATGTTGATGAAGAGTGAGGTCATTATTCCAGTCCTAACCTCAGTTTAAAATCAAAGACACTCTGAGTTTTAGGACGTTATGTGACAGGAAGTTCACCTTGTTGTCCGTTTGCTGTTTTCAGTCCATTCAGGCTCACATGGGGGAGGAGCTTCTGCAGGAGTTCATCAACTTCTGTCTCAACTATATGGCAAAGATCAAACTGCCTAAAAAAAGGTAGCAGCATAACTGCACCATGATCACTTTCTAAACATGTATTTTCATCTATTGTAATAGGAAGTATTGATGTAATATCTCATGTTTAACAGGGGCACATTCATTGAATTCCGCAACGGCATGTTGAACGTCTCCCCAATCGGACGCAGCTGCTCGCAGGAAGAGAGGAAAGAGTTCTATGAGCTCGATCAGGTAGAACACATTCACTCAAGCTGAAGATAAATCATTTACAGCTGTACGTGTTGATATAACATGAAGTCTATGATTGAAACATGGACTTTAAACATTGAATGCATCATTTTGACTTCTGTGAGGTCCAGTAACTCACATTGAATGCAGGTTTCTGCTTCTGCTGGATGTGAAACTTGTGTGACGGAGAATCTTTTTCACTTGCTGATGTTTCATGTTATTTTTAAGCATCTTCTTCTCCCTCTTAGTGGCCATATTTCTTTGATTCTTAGCTTAACATGCATGTCCATCTGTCACTGACGGGATAGCAAGACTGTTATAATATGTACATGCAAAATGGTTTTTAGCTTAATTTATAACGCTGCCACCTAGAGGTGATTTTCAAATGCATTTTTTATTCTCTGCTTGTTTCCTGCATTTGTTTTTTTTCCTTATAACAGGAGCAGCAACGTGTGCAAATAATTTCTGTCTTGGATTTTAATTAGTTTTTCCTTTACAGAAAGAGAAGATTAGAGAGAAGTTTGTGTCTGTGTTGAAGAAGGAGTTCAAAGGAAGAGGGCTGACATTTTCAATCGGTGAGTTATGAAACTAGAAGATACCAAACCTTTGTTAGCAGCTTTTGGACTTGTGTCTTTAACCCGCCCGGTCTTAAAAACAAATACTGTTATGCCATACAGCGTGAGGTATCCGGTGACTTGTTCCTGTTTCTAAAGTGTGATGCTGTATTCGCTCTCTGCAGGAGGCCAGATCAGCTTTGATGTGTTTCCTGATGGCTGGGACAAGAGGTTCTGCCTGGGGATCGTGGAGAAGGACACCTACTCAACCATTCACTTCTTTGGAGACAAAACCAAACCTGTGAGTATGCTAACAACAGCAGCACGTAACAATCAGGCTCATGGCTTTAGCGAGTACATGCAGATTCTTTACAAGGCTTGAAACAGGTCAAACAAGCAGGTAGAGGAAGAAGATTACTTCAGAGAGGAGCTGGGGGAGGAGCTACCAAATTTTTAAGGGCAAATACACCAGATCAAATAACTTTTGATAAGAGTGGGCTGTTTGTTTTTACAAAAAATATCCCCATAAGAGAGACACCATTTGCAGAAAGAGGGTCGTGGAGCAAAAGCTCTTAAATGATCAAACAGAGGATCTGTTTATTTCACTTGGAACAGTTCTTTTATACCATGCACATCATCCTTTTTGGGCAATTAAATCACTAAGCACTTACAGCATGTGTACTAAATAAAGAACATGATCATGACAGGATGGGTGTGTGTATGTACTGTATTTGGGCAGGCAACTGGTTTCATACAGGATAGGGTGTTTTTTGAAAGCCTAAAATTATCTCTTCAAGGATACCAGACTCCATTAGAGAAACAGTAAATGAATTCTACAGGACACAGACGTTGCTGGGTTCAAACTGCCTCGATACATTTGTTTGTATTGTTCTGTGTTTTTCAAAGCTGTTTTTTTTTTCATCTCAAACACAAAACTCAGCAGATAAACCTCAACCCCTCTGTTCTGGTGGTTAAATACCTGCATGTGGTCACAAGAGTGTTGTGGCATTGAATAGTTCATGTAAATGCTGCTTCTGTTAGATGAAAGCATCTTCCTGTGAGACTGAAAATGAACTTTTCTGTAATGTTATAAGACACTTTGTTCACAATCTGAGCCTATCAGTGGCAAAAACAAGAACTTTTAGTCGCAGCTAATACGGCTACTGGAGCAATTACAAAATATTTTGCACTGGTAAGTCACATAGACCCCAAAATGTGTTTAAAAATAATAATAATAATAAAAATGGAATGGGTGTTAGGGATGAGGCTCAAAAAGTGAGAAAATGACTGGCACTCTCGCAGAGCCAAAAGAAAGCTGAATATTAAATAAATAATAATTAAATGTGTAATAACAGTGAGAGAGAGATATTTATAAAAATCCACTAAAGTCTGGGAACACTAAGGGAACCCTAGTGTCATCACTGCTGTTATAGAAAGGGGTGTTGTCTTGAGTCTGTGTTTGGAAGGCCAGACAATTGCAGTGAGTGTCTGCATGTTGTGCTGGTGTGAGAGTAACCACACCAGTGAAGAGGGCTGTTCACACCTGATGAAGGATCATGCTGGCTGACCATGTGGCTGACCATGTGGCTGCCCAGCACCTCCATTCATAAACATTTTCCTTTTCATCCAGTATGGTCAGAGCAGGCTGCTGTGAGTGCAGAAAACTCACCGGTTTCAAACCCAGCTACCCCGCATCGGTCTGATACTCTAATGATTCCTTACCAACAGCTTTACTTTTTATCACAGAGGTATTTTTTAGCATTTGTGTTGTTAAAGGTCTGAGAGACAGATGGGCACAAGGATACAAGACTTTTTCAGGTGTGGAGTACATTAATTTTGTCCCCAATGCTGTCATTTCTTTGTGGAGGAGTGACTTTTCATGGACTTCTGCTGAGTCTCAGTTTAACTGTACATTTAAAGTAACACAGAGGCTTCACAGCACAAATCAGAGATTTGTCAGGTCTGTCATCTAAAGAAGAAAACAGCTTTGAAACTGTTTGGTTGAATGAAGGTGATATTGATCACTCCTGATGGATTCAAAGAAGTCTGGAAATCCACTCGTTAATTTGCTTTTGCTACAGTGTTAAGTGTCTGCATCGTGTTTCTTTCTGTGCATCAGGGAGGAAATGACTACGAGATCTACAGCGACCCTCGGACCATCGGACACGAAGTCTCCTGTCCGGAGGAAACACAACGACTCTGTCAACAGCTTTTCTTCTCATGAGGAAGAAGAAAAAGAAGTACTGCTGTTTTTTACTGCACCTTGAATATGAAAGGAATGAAATATGTCTAATACGATCGTACCTTGAAGTTAGTTAGAAAAAATGATTCACAAGAATGATTCAGTGTCATGGTATCTGTAATGAAATAGTAGGGGATTCTGGGATATTTCACAAGTTTTGAAGGGGAGCTGTTATGGGTTTAAATGTGATTCACTTTTGAAAACATGCTTGTGGTCGATATTAAGTTTAATCAAATTTTTGATTGTAAAAACAAAAGTCAGCTGGGTTTCCCCCCCCGATCTTTTATTCCACTTCACCCTTATTCTGAATCTGCTTGAACATAAACCTCATGTTTCTGGATGCTGCTGTGCCTCTGACGTCAGTGACACAAACACACACAGGACTTATTGATGAGCTGCTCATGTTACTGTTAGTCAAGCCAAGAGATTTGAATGCAGCTTTGTATTTCCTCACAGATATATTTGTCAGTCAAATGTGGCTTATTTCTCTTTTCATTTTATAAATTGTCTTTTACTCACATTTTAAATCAGTTTACTATCATGTTAATTTCTTATCAACACACATAATATGTGAATGATATCCTTTTAAAACTAGGAGTAGCCTCTTGGTTTTAAAAGAGCAGCCAGCTTACTTCCTTGAACCCATAATCTTTATAATGGCCAGCAGGGGGCGCCTCCACTGTCGAAAAAAAAAAAACTTGTCTCAGATGACATAGTTTATGGTCTTAATCTCTAGTTTCTGTTATTTTCAGTCTATAGTTTCAATGAGGTCTCCTTTATAAAGTTTGATGTTTGTGTTACCAGCTCTATGTGATATAAGACTTCCTCAACCATGCATTGCCTTTGTTTACAGTTGGCAATGTGGGAAGTTGGAATGGACTTGTAAATTATGTCCTTGAGATTGCTGGCTGCATTTGCTACAAAAATGTTTGAAAACATACAGTATATTATAGTTAAATTGTTAGATCACAACTGATGGGAGCCTGGATTGCTCCCATCTAACTTCATTTCATCATCGCATTCTGTGTTTTAATGCAGACTTTGCAGACTTTGTTGTTTTAATGCAGACTTTGTTGTTTTAATGCAGACTTTGTTGGTTTAATGCAGACTTTGTTGTTTTAATGCAGACTTTGTTGATTGAGAAATGGTTCCATTTAGAGTAAAATAGTCAAGAAAGCTTGGTAAGTAATGCTGCAGCTTGCTAACCTAGCTGTAGCCAATAACTTGACCTCTGTCCATACATTGTTAGTCCATTGTCTTTACTTACGGTTATTTTTTAAACAATAGTCATCATTATTTATTTAAATCCTCTGAATACCCAATGATAAAATGGTAGCCTACAGTCAACAACAAGAAAAATACAAATAAAATCAGGCAAATACTACCGGCATGCCGGGTCTGCCAAGTCTGGCATGTTAGCTTAACTCAGTAATTAGCTAACTAGCAAGCCAATAAACTAGCCTGTGTTATGAACCATGGGCATAGACTGTTAAGCTTTGATAAATGTAGCATTTTTTTTTAGATCTTAAAGAACACAACATAAAACTGTAATTGAGCGTCAAAATGTAATATTCAACTTTTCCTGCTGAGTCACAGCAGACGTGTTCACAAAGTCTTGGCTGTGTCTGAAACTTCAAATTAAACATAAGGATGTTGTTTGTCAATACATAGCACTGATTACATGTGAAGTATAAACCTGAATGAAGAATGAGCTGTAAAATATCTGTGAAATAAAAAGGGAACAAGTCTGTGATTGGACTTATAAAGTCTGTGTTCATGCTGAAAAGATGGAAGGTAATGTTGCAGTGAAAAAGTATTATCACAATTAACTTCCACTGTTTCTTTACTTAAAGCCTCAGCAAATACATTTAAATGTTAACTGACACAACAGGAAAAATACTGCTTTCCTTCCCTGTGGGAGACAGAGGCCCTCTGGTGGTCCAAGTGTGTAATGCTGACACAGCACATTCAGTCTGCGTTTGTTTAAATTGGGCAAAAAAATAAATAATTTAAATCAAACTAAACTGTATGTACTTATGGAAGCTGTTTTTCATGTTTGTTGGATGCCATGTAAAGAAATACATCAGACCAGGTATATTGCATTTGCCTTCAACAGTGCATTTATTGATAGATCATTTACATGATGAATACAGAACATACACACACACACACTGACATACACACCACAGGCTACAATGAAATTTACAAGTTTCAAAGGAGACAAGGTCAGGGCCTCCAGCTTTTAGACACCAACACTGTCTTTTTAGTTTTTTCTCCAGTTAAACACGTGTTTAAGTTTCAGTGCTTCACAGCTTTAAAGAGAGAGACTTTTCTAGATGTAACAACAAACAAATCCTGGCTCTTATTTCCTAATTTGACCAAATGAATGTGTACATGATTTCAGACTAAAATCCACGCTTTGAAAACTTGGCTACATGATAATACATTTGATAAATGATTGCCACTGCTCAACAGTGAACACAAACTGTTATTATGTTTAAGACTGTTAGCATGTGTAAGACATACAGTGTTTTCTTTGCTGTCTTTAAAGAGGGAGTTCTTGCAGCAAAAGTCCGTTTTCATAAAATACAAATACACCAACATAACCAGTATTCCCTAATATATCAGTCAGTACTTGTTCAAATATGGACTGCACTTCCAAAAACAAACTGAAATAGTATTTCAATCTCTATGGACATAAAGTTTAAGGGAATGTAAAAAGTTAAAGACACCTAAAAGGAGATCAACTTTTCATTCTTCAGTTCTTAAAGCACACATCAGTCAATCATAGTGTTCCAAGGACATTAGAAACATTGGTTATCTGACAAACTTTTCTGAGCATAAATCATGAATATTGTTGATAGACAGTTCACTGAAACAAACTAACTAATGGCTTTAAAATAATATATTGCACACAAGAAAAGAAAAAGAAAAAGTTCAGCATTTGCTTGTAAACATAAATATTTTTGTTCACATTTTGTTCTTATTCATCCCTTTTTTGATAACTACCAAGAGGTCAAAGTGGGTGAAGAAGAAGTCAGACATTAAGTCCCGCTTTGTTTTATTATCCCGTACAGTTCAGGCTAGGAAGGAGAAATGATAAAAACCCAGGGGAGTAATTCATCTGAAAAGAAGGTGCAGTGTTTTCTTCAGGGTTGTGAAATGGCCATGATTCTGTGAATGTGTTACCTGTCACTTGTTTGGTGTGTCACTAATCATCGATGGAGTATATATACCCTGTTGCATCCAAAGGGCAGTGCACTTGTAACAACATAAACAGTTTTTTAAAAGTCAAGGGAGATTTGTTGTCACTCAAACTATGGGACAAAGGTTTTAATGTAATAAACTACCTGGTAAGGTCAAGTAAACATTCAGGTTTGGGTTCAAATGATAAGAGAGGATAAAAAAAGGATATAAACAGTGATCTCTTGTATCCTGAAGACATATTTTTCACAGTCGTTCTAGCCAGTCACAGCCCCAACAGCAGGATTAAGAACTTTATTTCGGGTGATAGCCAACTATATGTTTACCTCGTGGTGTTTTCTTTGTAGCCAGGATGTAAGCCACAATGTCACATCTGAACTAAGTATGTTGTGTTTGATCTCCAAAAAGCATAAACACTAAATACTGACCCCTAGTGGCAAACAGTGTTAAATAAAAAACAAACAGAAAAGGTACGAGAGAGGAAATAAAAAACATCAGTGCATGACTCAGCTTTATGTCAATTTAGGTTCAGAGTAGATTTTGGCTGTTGGCTCATCACCCCCCCAGTGTTTAAACTACATTAAATATCATTTTACATTTTCCCCTGAAACGTTTTATAGCACTGTTTATCATGATGAGACTGAAGACCTGTCATGTCTAAACACCCTAAAGCTCTCAGGAAACCACTCTCTCCTTAATTACCGGTGACTTAAAATGTGATTTTCCGTCCTGTAATTTATTTGGATGTCGATCAGCTTTGTATCACACTAGAACTGTGGTATAGGACTTACCTAAACCTAAAGGGAAACATTTAAGTACTAGTAAAACATATAGTTTTCAGTAAGAGAAAGGCTGACAGAATAATATCAATGAACAGATTTTCCTTCAATTTTCTGGTTTTTGATTGGGTTGAGCAGAGATGTGTTATTTGAAGAAGTATCATAATAAATATGAACCCATGTTAAAGTTTGTAAGACTCTCTGAAGACAGTTTCCCTTACCTCATCACATTAGAGTAAAACCGTTCTAGATTTTTCTCCAATCTTTATTCAAATGAGTGGCCTCTTCATTTCAGAACTTACATTTCCAGCTTCAATTTTGGAGTTGTATTGCTTTTCTTTAAAACCCTGCTTGAACTCAGATTAACTTTGCTTTTGCTCCAAAAATGGCCTCTACTCGGAGATTCGTTTTTTTTTTGCCTTTTAATTGCACATGAAATGCTTCTGTGCACTTTTTTTGCGCATCGACCCTTTAAAAATGGAAGAACTCCAGAGGACTGTTTGAGTGCGTGAGCAGGGTTTTGAGGCAAAGCATGACAACATTTCATGCTCTCAAACTGAAAGACCACCCTCTTGCTTAAAGACAAGAAAAGATCCCTGTACATAATCAGGCTGCTTTCATTAACATTCATCCATCTCAGCGTGGCAACTGTGCATTTGTTACACCGAGTACAAATTATGGAATTGTGCCTAAAAGCAGCATACACGTATAAAAAATAGCAACCTTTCTGCAAAAAAAAGGAAATTAAAAAAAGTTAAATAAAAATTCTCAAGTAGCATCCTTTTTTAGTGCCTTCATCAAACAGCTGAACTGATAACAGCAAGGGTTCCCTTTAGACTAAAAAAAAAAAGAATAACTCCAACAGACTCAGTCAGTCAGCCAGCAGCCATCTTTACCTGCTCACAGCCTCTCCTCCAGGTGCATGAAGAAAGATTTCTTGGGGGGGGGGGTTGGGGAGAGACAGCCAGACAGCAGGGTTCCCCTTTTATTCCAGTCAGGCAGAAATGAAGGCGGTCTCATTTGGGTCAGAGTCCTTGCTTTCATACCCGCCACTGGACGAGCGGCTGCTGAGGTCGGCCACCCCAGACTCCAGGTCACTGCAGGCAGAGAGGTCATCGGTGTCCTGACTTTTGAGATGTGTGTACAACCCGAGAGGCAGGGTGAGTGCGGGGTCCTTGGTCTGAGCGTTCTGATTGAATGGTTTAGAGAGGGCCTGGTCGTTGTCCTGTGCACAGCTGGTGATCGGGTGTGTGTAATTGGTGGGCGGGTCCGGCCCGCAGTGTTTCTGCCACAGGTGACTAGTCCTCCTCCTCGGAACCTCGATCTTCTCCCACGTGATTGGCTTCCCCGTCAGGGCTGCAATCCTCTGCAGAGACAAGAGAGAAAGAAGACAAAACGCTTTCTTAACAGAGCTGAAAGAATTCAGTAAATCTTCACTGTGTCTGATGAGAGGTTAGTAACAGTGTTTCTAAAAAGGGGTATTACCCCCCTCCCTCCCCCATGGATGTTGAATAACTGCAAGGGTACTTCAGATTTAAAAAATGATCATCAGTCATGCCTCATATCTTACGTTTGACTACAATAAGGTCAGTGAAAAATCTAAGATTGAAAAATGGCACTTTATATTTTTCATCCAATGAATTTATGTTATTTGTTAACTATCCCATGAGTTTTGTTTGTTGTGTTTTTATTTGCACTAATAAAGTAATACAAAGAAGTGAAAAACAAAGCCAGTCAGTGTCAGGAAGGACTACAAATCAATGCTTGTCTAAAAAAAATGTGTGCAGGAAGCGGGCATAACTCATGAAGTGTTTTCTGTAACTTGAAAAAATATATTAAGTTCAGTTCAATTAGATCGAAGAAAATTTCTCCCAGGCTTTAAGGTCTGACTTTCTGGACCTGTGAAGATCTCCAACTCAGAGAGAGATGTTCTTATTGATTTTGGAGCTGTGTGCTAAATCGGGGTTATGGTGATGTCGCATTAGGGGTGTCTTTGTGAGTTGTATGCCTTGTCTGGAGCCCAGGTGATGGTGGTGGTGGTGGTGGTGGGCGGTTCCTCCTGGTGGTACCTCCTGGTGATTGGTCAGCTCCTCCTCCAGCTGCTGGGATTCCTCCCTCACTGCAGTCAGGTAGTCTGAAGGTGTCTGACGAGGAGGCGTAGATTTCTCCACGTGGTTATAAAGTCCCTTCCACATCCTGGTAACGTGGAGAATACAGGAGTTAGATTTTCACCTCAGGAGCTCTCTTAAGAATAAGAAGGTTTTTGAATAACTTAGTCTAGTCTTTTAAGGATTAGAAACATTAGAGAGAGCTGTTTATCCCCCCCCCCCCCCCCGAGTCATTGAATGTTAATTTTCGATGACTTGCACCAAACATTAACTCCTGAACTAAGAACACCATCTTTCTCAGGGAGTGAAACAATGTGGTGTCAGTGTGCTGCAGTTTCTCACTTGAAGCAGTAGGGGGTGGTATTGGGTCTCAAGACACCCTGACTCTGGCTCAGCTCGGCCTTGTAAAGAGGGTTGATGTACTCAGCCCGGTCCTTCCACAGCTGAGGCCACACAGAGTGACTCCGTTCATGAAGCCTGCAGTTAAACAATGAAGAAAACAACAAACAATAAAATGAAAAACGCAATGATAAAAATCAACTATGTGATGCTCATGAAGTCAAATAATTCAGCTATAGGCTGAGTTTTCTTCAGGCATGGAGCCAAAGATGTGTTCAAAATGTCTTCATTAGTTTAGTTTTATGTAAATTACATTTTGAAAAATTAAACAGAAATGATCCAACCGCTTTGACCTGCACTTGTTTTTCTCTTGGAATGGCTACAACATTTAAATTTAAATTAACTCTTAATGTGACAGACGGAGGCTAGGAGGCTGATGTACATCTACATATCAATCAATAAATACACAATTTAAATGCATTATAGAAAATATGGAAACATCATCCACAGTCATAGTGGTAATTATAACCATTACAATAATTCAATAAAACATCATAGTGTCAATGTGTGTGTGTGTGTGTGTGTGTGTGTGTGTGTGTGTGTGTGTGTGTGTGTGTGTGTGTGTGTGTGTGTGTGTGTGTGTGTGTGCTCATGTCTGTGCTCATGTCTGTGTCAGTACTACCTTAGGTCTCTGCGTTCCTTTTGGCAATTTCCGAGGAAGGTCCCGTACTGACAAGAGTAGACATGTGTGTGTATGGCGGTGAGGAAGCGCTCGTTGAACTCAAAGGCACACGGGAACTGCTCGGACAGCTGCCACACACACTCCAGGAACTGATCGATGACCGGGGACACCTCTTTGGGATCTCCGTCCAGGTGGGAATACCTGCAGGGACACCACTCTGTCTTTACTTTGCTCTCTAAAGTATATAGATTCTTTTTTCACAAGTGTTCAGAATCGTGAGGCTAGAAATAATCAATCTCAACTCTAAAGAGACAAAAGCAAATCTAAAAACCTAAAAGCACAACAAATGGAGACTGCATCACAATTTGTTTAAAAAAATTCTGATTTTTATAAACAAGTTCTGATTTCAAAATACAACTTAAGAAAACTTGATCAGTAACATAAAGGATCTGCTCTATCTGTACTAAACTGAATAGAAAATGTACAAAAACAAAATGACTAATAATAATGAATAAAATCCTCTTAATATAATATATTCAATATAATAATAATCCATTAAGCAAGAATCAAAAACATAATTGAACACTTAATACTATTTTTTTTATCATTTAATTAAGAAAGAGCCTTCAGTCTGGTGACATAAATAAATAAAATGGAATGAATTTGATTAAGTGAAATATAATGACAGGTCTGCAAATAATGCAGGAAGTTTATGACTCCCTTCCAGATGTAGGCCTGGGAGAAGTCATGCACTGGGTCTTATGTTTGAATGAAAATGTTGCCTCAAGTGAAAAGAGAAAAGCACTGAAAAACAAAGCTGTGAAACAGAATCTAAATGCATCACAGTGGGTAAACTCTAAAGAATTTATAAACACATCCACAGCTCTGCACAAACAAACAGGAAGAAGCCAGATTTAGTTTAAATTCAGCCGCATCTGCGCTTCATCCCACCCGCTGCTCTGCTCTCCGTCAGCCCTGATAACAGCCAGAACACAGCTTCATACTCACAGGTCGGGATATACAGACACCTGTCTAAACCTTTAAGCATCAATGAAAGATCAATGAAATGAATCAATGAAAGAGCACAAGATTCTTTTCAGGTTCTTTTGCAGAAAGACAAACTGCTGGTCTGAAGTTTGTGGACAGTAAACAGAGGGCTTCACCCCACAGCACAATAACTGATGCCAATGAAATGTCCAAAACATCTCTCTTCTTCTGCTTTATGAATAACAGTTAGTGGGAATATTGAGGTGTAGAGAAAGAACATACTGTAGGCTTGCACGCTTGCTTGAATACCACAAAATAAGTTCTTTAATTTAAATCGATCGAGAGGTCTTCTTCATGTGTTAACATCCAACCTTATCACCTGAAACAGTCTGACCTAATTGCAGCATTGTTAAGCCAGTTTACTCAAAAGAAAGACTGGGCATGGTTATGCTGAACTCGCTTTGTTATATCTTTGTGTAGCCTTAGGTTTTGAAACAGGTGTCGTTAATATTTGATTTTAAAACTCTGCTGTAGGGACAGCCTGAGTATATTCACGCCTAGAGCTCAACAAGCTTGTAGAATTAGTGATACACAATCTTGGCTGTTGATTGTCTATTGACTGTTTTATACTGATACCGAATGCTAAGCAACATGACGCCACACAATCAGTGCTGTGCATGTGCAGCTTTCACTAGAGGTGAGAAGGAAACGAGATCACTCTCATCAGCTACTTCCAGTGTTTATTTAAACCTCTGTCCAAGCAGTGCAAGTGCAGACTTTACAATCACTGTTGAACATCTATCTGTTGTAATATTTTACTTGTCGAACTGTCTAAGACACTGGGGGTGACATTTGGCAATTATAGGAAATCATTTTATTTAAACTTTTAGAACTATGTGAAAAAGAAAAACAATTGAAGGGATTTTGGTTCTGACCCAAATGCGTTGCCCTGAAGTTTTTAAACCTATTGTTCTTTCTTCTTCTGCCTGTCACAAACTTAGACTTAGACTTTCTTTATTGTCATTCAAACTTGTACTTTACAGTGCAGATAAGAACGAAATTTCGTTGCATTTGGCTCGTTGTAGTGCAGGATAAAAACAGCAGCATGTATTTACATATAAAAAATAAAAATAAGGTGCAGATATAAATAGATATAAAAAGAAAAACTATGAGTAAAATTACTATACAGATAAATATATTGCACGTTATATTGTATTTTATAGTCCAGTGAGGTAGTTCTGTGTGGGGGTTTGAGGGGGAATGGAGGAACAATCTCAAGCATGGTGTCATAATGTTCTTTCTGGTGTCATCAAGATTGAAAAAAACCTAACCAAAAGGGTGATCCAAATTTGAGCTCGTTTGACATTTTTGAGACTGTGAAAGATAAAATATCATGTTTCAATCTGACTTTTTCATAATGAAAAGAAGACAATGTATGTATTTAAATGTATTTAAATAGAAGATATTCCATTTGAGAGTGGTTGTTGGCCATGTTTTACAAAATAAAATGCACAAAATGATTCATATTTTCCATGTTACTAACCTGTGGGAGAATTTGTGACCAAAGGAAACCCAGTCTCTCTCTATTAGCACCTGAGAGGGAGGAGAGGAAGCAGAACAAAGAGAAGGGTGGGAGGAGAAAGAAGAAACGATTGGAGACGAAGAGGAGAAAATTAGAGATAAGAACCAAGACTCTTTCAGAGTAAGAGGCGATGAGTGTTGTGCTTGTTACCATGAGTCCTTTGATGGTTCTGTAGAACGGGTCTAACAGTACACTGGCTACGGAGCAGGCCTGAGCCGTCCTGTCCCAGCCGTCTGAACAGTGAACCAACACGCTGACCCCTTCATCAGCAACTGCCTGGAGACAGAGAGAGCATTTTCATGAGTAGAATGTTGTAAATATGAACAAGAATTCAATGTGGGAATCTCTTAATTGTCATTACTGAAATGAAGATGACATTATTATTCATTTATTTAACAGAAACACAAACAATTAACATTGTGTCATATGTAAAATACAAAGTAAATGCCATGCATACATTTTTCTAGCCATTATATATATAAATATAAATACCGACTTTATAATGCAAGACAGATAAGAGACTAAAATAAGGACTCTATTCTTCCTCCTTCTACTTTTCCTCCCTCTCCTCTGCCTCTTACCCTTCTTGTGTATTATGTGTATCAGTTTCATTATTGTCTATTATTTCTAATTTGAGTGTGTAAGCAATCAAGAAAACTGTAAAAGACAGCAGCAACTTAACCCGGCATCGAAGCAGAAACAATTCCTGTGTGTGTGTGTGCGTGCGTGTGTGCGTGTGTGTGCGTGTGCATGCGTGTACGCACCCTGGCTATGAAGACCCCAGCTTCGAGTACAGCTTTTATGTGTTTCAGCCAGCCGGAGTTCTCCAGACCCCACAGGAAGTCAGTCATTGATGGAGCTTTCATCTCACCCACTGTGTGAAAAGAGGAAGCGAGAGGAGATTTACTAAGACACACATACAAACAGACACACACACTTACTCATAGAGGGAAGGACAGCATCAGAATGGGTCTGTGTATGTCCTGATAGCAGCTCTGTGTTTCCATCTCAGGCTGCTTCTTCATCATCATAGACCCTTAAGAAGAAGTGGACATATACTCTGGGCCTAAAAAGTGAAGCCAATGCAGAACAGAACTGCCTTGTAAAACATTTTTTTCACTGAACAGCAGGAAGCGACTCCCCTGGTTGCAAAAACCAAGCCTGTTGTGTCCGAGCCAATGAGGAATTAAGCGTACCCTTCAGTGTAGTTATTATCCAACAGACATTCTTAAATGATGGTCTCGATCTATAGCCACCGTTTTACTTAGAATGGATGATAAAGCGGGTATACTTCAGGGTGTACCTAAAATATATAGTGTTAAAGTTTTAGTTACACTAAAAGACACTCTGACGACTCAGATGTAGATTTTCTGTGAAAATAATTCTGTTTTAGCCTGTTTTTTACTTTCCAAAAGAAAACTTTAAAATATCAGATACAGTAAGCTATGGATGCACCCTGCAACTAAAGCAAGCTCTTAATTCAATAATTACTTACTCGCTTGCTTGGTACCTCATCAAACTAACATCCAACAAGAGAGTAGAGGAAATTAGATCTTCAGTCCCAGGATCTATTCTTACTGTCTGTTCCAAAGAACTGCTCCCTTTACGTGGAACACATTAAAAGAGACCTGTAACTAATGGAACTCATTAGATGCTTTTAATGTGGTTTTAAGTACAAGATGGTGATCTGGCTGTTTGCTGGTCTAACTTGTTGTTTTATGTCTTTATAATGTACTGTAGTCATGTATCCTGTTGATTGTATGTTTGTATGTATGCTCAGGGTTTGAGTAAACTTTGTCAGGTGTCCCGCCTGTCTTGATCAGAACACTCTCGAAAAAGAGCTTTTTTCATCTTAACAAGCTTTTCCTTAAAAGTCAGATTAAATTAGTTGCTAACTTGAAGTCACTTGAACTTGAACTCCTCTCCAGCTCCAAGTTATCTTCAAAATATGGTCACTTCTGTCTCATAAAAACAAGATGGCAGCTTAAACCCAAACTCTAACAGATCAATGGTGGATGTGACGGTGGTTATATTCTTATATTACTTTCTTTGAACATATAAACACACGCACTATTCTCACCATCAATGATTTTCTGCTGGCTGCTCCTCATCACGTGAATGTTTTCGATGCCGATGAACTGCAGCTTGATGTTGGTGTAGTGGTCCTCGTTCTCGTAGCCTTTACCTGCAGCTCGGTTTGCCATGGCATTCAGCTGGACACAAAACAGATACAAAACAGTGTGAGAATTTCATAGCTTGCAGTTTATTTGTCTGTATTAATCAATGTGAATATACTCGATATGTGAGTAACAAAGTGTGTGTGTGTGTGTGTGTGTGTGTGTGTGTGTGCATGTGTGTTACCTTGGGCCTTGTGTCCACCACATAGATGAATTCACTGCCAGGGTTGGACTTCATCACAGCCTGAAGCATCATCTCGTCCTCCTGACAGCGTCCACTGAACCCTGACAGCGGCTGACTACAGCGGCACACTGCTGCCTGTGTGATCGATAAACATGATCATAATCACTTCACCTAAAGGTACGTATTACAGATCCAGTCATTTGTAAGCTTGTCTTGATGTGTTGTTCTGTGTCAGCTGTATAATGTATGAACTGCGTGGAGACATAATAAAGGAGCAAGTCATCCTGTTTAATTGGCACAAAGATTAAAAGTAACACATAAATGTTTTATCTTTTTTTTTCAAACATATATTACTGATGAGTTGGATAACTCAGCAAAATTAAAACGACATTAAGGATGAGTTGATTGTCCTTTTATTAAATGAAACCTACAGTATGTTAGGATAAATGCCCTGTGTGGGTTTGAGTGTGACTGACCAGTGTGTCCTGGTGGAAGTAGGACAGAGCAGGAAATCGTCCTCGACTCCTGAACCTAGAGCTGCCCACGATGATGGCGGGTGTAGCTGACTTGGGAACAAACAGCTCTGATGGGTAAGTGTCACACACCTGGAAGGGTCATACACAGAGACATGCTAAGTGACAAATACATCAAAATTCATATTTAGCTTTTGTTTATCAAATATGCATTTATTGTCAGTTTGTGGCCCAACAAAGAAAAAAAAACAGTCATTTTGTGAGTATTCTTAGTGTTATTTTTGAATTCGTAATTTCCTGGAAAACAAAATGCAATAAAACAAAAGGGAAAAACGATTGTGAAGTTGTTGACTTAGTGATCTGGCTTTGAGAGGGCTGCTGTATGCTGCTCATGTAGAAGGAGGTAGCTAGTGATGAATACTTAGTCATGCTGAGGGGAGGCATTTACTATTGTATCTGTTACCTTGTATATGCCTACAGTAGAAAGATATGTAACAGCAGCTTCTGATTAAAAAGCATCTTTCTCTTTAAAAAAAGGTTTTCTTTGTATGGAGGATTAGGGATATATTTTCTGGTACTCAACATTACAATCTAAAAACCATGAACTTTCAGAGTAGACATATTTTTGTCTTGCACATGTACACTTTATAAACAAGTCAAAATATTACTGACCCTGTATTCACTGTTAGCTGCTGTATGGACCCAAAGGTTATTAGGAACTCCCATCCTCTTGTAGTCAGCCATGACGTCTATGAAGTTCCACGACTCCTCTCTCTCCTCTTTGTTCACATTGGGATTAAAGGACAGACAGTACAACTCGCTGTACTTCTCTGAGAGGAGAGGACAGGAGAGGAGAGGAGAGAAGAGGAGAGGAGAGGAAGAGGGTTTAAATGTGCTTAACACCTGGGTCCATTCAACATACATTTAACCACTTGTACACACATTCACACATACATACCTGGTCGAGACAATCTGACCAATGAGGAGTAGACGTCCATGCAGTCTCTCTCCTGTGGAATCAGGATCTGGTAGACCCGGAAGTTTTTACAGCGCAGGATCAGCTGACTTCCTGCAGGGATCGTGGGCGGCCTCTCCACACTGCTCACCATGCTGTGCAACACCTGAAACATACAGAAAAAAAACACAAACTAATTACAACCGTCTGTGATGTCAGTCAGAGCTCAAAAAAATACAACCAGCATTAACTCGTGCCGTAGCGTTGTGTAATCCGTCTTGTGATCTAACAGATTCAGGAAGGGGGAACCTCTTGGGCTCTCTTGCATATCATGAAGAAGGAGAAGTAGACAGTAGCTATAGAAGCCTTTTTTTTAATCAACACAAGTTTAGTAGTCTTCTTTGTTGCTGCTAATCCAGCAGACACTGTCAGTGCCTGTTGGGTGAAATCTGAAACCCCCTGGATGCCTGTTTTATCTAGTCAGGTCCACAGGGATGGGGCAGTGTCCTCCACCACCTCCTGCAGGAGATTTTTAGGGGGGGGGGGGGGGGATGGGATGGTATCTCTCCTTCCTGTCTCTGGAAATTCACATTTTTACACTGATGAGATGAAACAAGCTTTATAAAAACACTGGGACTATGATAATGTTGCCATTGTGCTCATTTCAGATCATAATCGAGTTCAAACATGACCAATTTATTATGACCCTGTCCCCATGATGACTTACATCTCATCATTAAAATTCACAGATTACTTACTATAGAGTGGTCAATATAGTGCATTATTATTATTTGATAAATCAGGCACAAGGTATCTGAGAGTTTTACTGCCAAACTAATTCTTCACTGCAGATCATATGTCACAACCACTCTTCACAGTAATAATCAATTTGGTGCTACAAATCTGTGTAACCACATGAATTTCACCCTAACAGCAGAACTTTGTCTTCACTAAATCACTTCCCTCTGTTCACTGAAGAGATCTCAGGGGAGACTGATAGTGGTGCAAAATGTAAAGGTAAAGTTTCACCCTTTCTTTACAGCAAAACTCCATTACTAACAGTCAAGAAATATCCAAATGTTCTGTTTCTTAAAGGATGTACTGATGAATACTTGAACTCAGGTCGCATTGGAAAACAAGAGGAAACTGGTTGTTTTAGTCAGAAAGGCATGGAAGGAGGTCGGGATTCACTTTGGACTCAGTTATCAGAGATCTAGAGAAGGCTGTAGTGTGATACTGATGAAGACAAATACAGCATTCCTATTGGCTGTAGTATAAACTTTTGGGGACAATATTACTGATCAGAGTACTTTCAGTAAAAGTGTAGATTGTTACTTGAACTGCCTGACAACTTTTAAGAAATGATTCCTACATAAAAATACAGTTTTGTCAATATTACCCGTACATCCAATGTTCAAGCAGAATGAGCTGTTTGCAACACTGTTGTCTTCCCGACCTCCAGACTACATAAACCAAAACACTGAAATGACCTCACAAAACACTGGAGTTGGAGGTCAACAGCTGCTTTGACTGGTGAATTTGTTTGTAATATTACATTTTGATGAATCACAACCAGCCTTCAAATTTCAAATCAACACATTGATACACACACTATACCAGCAACCCTCTGTGTCCTGAAACATGAATTCACTGTTTTTGCCAATGGAGTCTGTAAGCTTTACAAATAGCTATACAGCGGCTGCTCCTGTTTAAAAAAGCATCTTGATTATTAACAAAAATGGCATATCTCTGCAAGCATCCTTTCTGGAATGTTGTCAGACACTTAAAGTTACATTCAGACTATTTTCATTGACACAAGTTTACTCATGTGCTTTTGACCTCAAGGATAAAGTTGCATCCACTGCAGCCTGTCCTGAGAGTAGTGTGTCACACCTCCTACAGGGGATTTCCCAAAACTTTTCAGACATTTCAGTCAATAACACCGTATTACTACAACAAACAGAAATTACTTCCAGCTTACCCATGTCTCCTTGCGTGTCTCAGGGTTGTTCTCTACAAAGATGGTGTGTGTGGCAGAAAGGTAGAGAGTCCCAGTGCTGGCCTTCCTCTGGCCCGATGACCGGTCAATGAGACGCACATTTTCCACCTATAAGAGCGATCGAGGAAAAAATATCAGAGACAGAAAAATTAACAGATCCCGTATGATGAATATTTTGGAAAATAAAATCGCTTTGATCCCCGAGACCTGCACACGAAGACAAATCAAATATTAACATGTAAAAACACTCACAGTCTTCTGCCATGACTCAGCACATAACATCCACTGAGCTCAAAATACAGTCTGTATAAAGGTCATTCAATAACTGTCTTTTATGACTATGTGTATTTAGAACAACAGGCATATATTCCTCCATTGGATGTTGACTGCAGCCTGATGAATACAAGAATTTCAAAGTCATTACCAATACTGAATTAGGAGTTGAAATGTACCTACCAATATAATGAATGATGTGATATTATGCAACTTCAGCTCTCTGTGTGTATTGTGCACAGATTTTGCACTGATACAGTCTACTGTCTGATAAAGGAATGTATATTACAAGGTTTAATGCTTCAATTCATGGGTGATTACAAATGATACTGTGATTGCTCTATTACTTTATATAAACATAAACAGATACACAATAATGTGGTAATGAGAAAGATGGGGTCAATATGAGGCCTTGTATATCGATATATTTTCAAACAAGATAACGGGTAAGACAACATCGTTAATATGGATATAGTTTATGTTGCATTAAAATAACGGTCACCTTTTTCTCATCTCACTGATGATGACTGACTGTCTGTCTCTCTTAACCCTGCTCCTCCTCTCTCTCTCTTTTATTGTATTTAAGAACATTTTTATTCTATAATATTACTTTTTAAATTCACAAACAGGTAGTTCATTTTACCCATATACATATTGATATATATCGAGTATCGCCATTCTGCTAAACAATATTGAGATATGAGTTTTGGTCCATATCGCCCAGCCCTATTTTTATTAGTTAACTATATCTTACTTAACTAAAGCAATGAACCCTATTCAGTGGTTGAATCCATTATCGATAATGTCAGCTTCACAGCGCTTGTTTCTATTCATGTGTGTGTGGAGCAGGAGATACATTGGTCTGGTGCCTGCACTACACAAGGTGTTTTAAATCAATGGCGCCGCAAAATATTATCCACTGTGAGTGTAATGAGATGACGTCCTGCAGGCTGTCCCATAACAGACAGGTATGTGCGTACAGTATTGATCAACACAGTGGTGTGTAAAGGGATGAGAGGGAGATGTGTTAGGGACATAATAAACCAATGTGTGCATCAGCAGGGGACAAACAAAGACAAAGCAATGTAAGAGACATGTTGAAATGGAAGCTTTGAGTCTTACCTTGGGCGTCCGGATGTGCTCCATCACTGACAACCAAAATGGAGGAGATGGAGAAAGAGGAGGGTTGTAGCCGTAACCCGTCAGCGATTAAATTCCCTGTTCCACCCGAGTAATGGAGCTGTTTCCTCTGTGGCTGCTGTCGTCGACCTGTCCTGCACAATGTCCCATGATTTACGTACCTCTGTATCCTGGGCTGGCTCGGTTTAACTGAATGAAAAGGGGTCCTACCCTGCCCGTGTATAGCGGTACCCGAGCTTTGACGGTCCCTGTCTCCGTTAGATAGTGACGTCGATAACAGCTGCGTTCATCAAGGTAACGTCATACAACACGTCCGCTCCGGTTTTCTTGTTTCAAAATAAAACATTTTCCTTAAACGTAATTAATTCTTACATTTTGTTTTACATTTTTTGACAAACGTGTACATTTTTCAGTAATTGTTGAATGCATTTTTTTGCCAAACGAAAAACAGCTGTATGTGATTTTATACTATATAGTTTATAAATTAAACCCCAAGCTTTATTTTGATAGACAAGACTGACCGTTTTTTTTTTAGAGATTTGATTCGTTCACAGCTAGTGCCAAGGATCAACCAGGACTGCGCATGTGCAAATTCCATCGTCTCCCGCCTGTCTTTGAATGCAGGAGATAGAAAAATATAAAAACTGTAAAAAGAAACAAAACATGTGATGACATTACTTTTTCTCTTTTTGGTTTAATTTCTACAGTAAAGTCGAATTCTAATTATATTATATTATATTCAATTATAATTAAATATATTATAATTATAATTATAATCTTAATTAATTATAAGTATTGACAATTCTTCAACCTCTGTCATCAAATTATCATTCATTAAAGAGGGTTTATCATAGCCTACATTTTTATGTTGTTTAATTTTAACAATTTTAAAACTTGGCTAAAATAACGTTTAGGCTATGTAGGCCCTATGCATAATTTATCTATAGAGTCTAGTGAGTGAAGGAGAACGAAGTAAGCCACGCCAAAAGGTAAAGGTGAGTAATCAACTAAAATCAAGGAAGCCGTTTTATTATTCACATTTCTCATCTTCCTTGGACTCAAGCAACAGAGTGGAAAACAAACCTGAGCATTAAATAGATTTTTCCCTTCCAAGTTATTTCACCATATTTCTAAAAGATAATCTAGCTTATCAGACATTATTACATTTGGGCCAGTAGGGTTTTTTCTTTCTTTTGTTTCAAAAGCATTGTGGATCAGAGCCATTATGTAAAATAGTTCTGCAGTCAATTGTCCCATGTTGACCCCCTCAGCCTAATTAAATAAGAGCAACTTGTGCAATTAAATATTAGGCTATTTTTTTCTAGTAACTCCAGTAATCATAACAACAAAGAGGAATATCCACTTATGAACAAGTAAAGGAAACACTCCCAGAACCGGTTATGCCAGACTTGCGAAACTTTTTTAGGTTTTTGATGAGAACATGGAAAATAAAGTGCCAGAATCAGGAAGCTTGCAGTGCAGACCAGTTTCATGGACTAATATGTTCAAGTGTGAGATGCAGTTGAATTGGCAATTCAAAATTGTAACCTTTAAACTTAACAGAGCAAGATAATTATTTTTTCTTAGAAGTTAATTTTATGTGACAAAAATATCATTCTTACAAACTTATTATTTGATAGTTCACAAGTGGTTTGAGCTCTCCCATCTTGTGTCTTGTCATGAGTTTCTTAGCAGCACAGAAATCAGATGGCAGATGGAAGTCACATTGCAGAGTGACATGCTTTAGTGAGTACGACGTTGAGGTCATTATGAAACTTCTTATCATGCAATATTTCAACCCATGCCGAACAAAAACAGGAAGAAGAAGGAAAGACTGTGGACAAAGTGGTCATACAAATGTAATATTGTTTTGCTCCTTGTCCTTTTTTGTCTTTATTGCAAAGTTTAAGCAGCATTTGTTAATGGCTTTCCATGACACTAAGCAGTGATACTGATGCCTTAACTGTAGCCTATAACTTTAATCCAACAGGTAGAGGACTGCACCTGATGCAGGTTTCAGTCACGGTAATAACAATCTGTTCAACACCACTACAAAAGTAGCAGTTGTTTACTTTTATTACAAACCTTCAACAGGTCTTCATAAGATGATCATTTTGGTTATACTTTTAACGTATTAGATGTTGTTATTCCCCCAATTACCAACGTGTTAATTAATGTATTTTATTCATATTTTTGTTTGTCTGATTTGAACATGTTCCTCTTTCTGGACTGTAACAAGACAAAGAATCAGAAACAGGTTTAATTCCAAGTAGATTTACACATACAAATAAGTTTTCTTGGTGTTTTTGGTGCAAAAACAAACAACATAAAAGTAGAAAGCTATAGGCCTATAGCAAACAACATACTGTTGACTTCAGTTTCACTGAATTGACCATGGAGCTAAGCTCTTTTACCCTTATCATGCTCAATTTATTAGATTTATTAAACAGTTTTATAGTCACAATTTTATAAATGCATTAATAAACTGTTAGCACAATTCCAAATGGTTCTTGGTCGCTAAATGGACCTGTGCTAACATTGTAATTGATTTAAGTCATGTACAAGTGGAGTCAGTGTTTCATTGACCACTAGATGGCAGTGTTACACGTGGAAAAAGTCTACTGACGAGGCAGGTGAGGTAAAGGTGATCTGAGCTATTTATTTTGGTTCGCAGTCATCTTTAACACTCTGTGGAGGTTAAGCATCCATTAATCACACTCGGAAATAAGCAATGAAATAAATATTGAAATTAATAAATACAACCAGGTAGGCTTAAAAAAGTATAGTAAAATGGAAAATTAATATTTGGATCAAGTTTATTTTGTATTTCTATTAAAATAAATAGAATAAATAAATATTATAGCAACATAAAAATCAGTGTCAAATAAAAACTAAACTCCCCCCTCATGCTTTCTACTTTTAGATAAACAATCCTCTTTTAACCTTCCTCTTTTTTCTTTTGATCGTATTTCAGGTTTTCATTGTTAAATCGGTTGTTCCAACTTCCTACTTATTTTTGTGTGTAGCCTAAATATGATGAGGATTATGTTTTGTTAAAATTGCAATGACACCATTAATACTTTGTTAAATAAAATTAGAATAAGTTAATAAGTACTATAAGAAAAAAAGAAATAATAACCTCAGGTGCAATAAGAGATGTAGAAAGTTAGAGACAAGAAAACATATTTATATTTTCATTTCATTGTACAGTGTTCCCCTTTGTTATTTTTTCTTTTGTATTATATCTTTGCTTTAATACAGTGTATAACTTCTGTACAGTTTATTTTAAATCACTTAGCTGTTACTACAACTTATTTATTTTTTACTTTTACTTTTTTGTACTTTTCTACTCTTTTTTTTCTTATAATGTTATTCTATTTTATATATATAATTTTAACTTTTTTTGTAGACGCTGACTCAGGGAGAAACGCCCAAGAATTCCAATGTACCTGTACTGTCCTGTACCTGTACCTGTACTGTCCTGTACCTGTACCTGTACTGTCCTGTACCTGTGCAAATGGCAATAAACATCTATTCTATTCTATTCTAATAAAGTAGCTCGTTAAAATGCCTAAAATGTTGGAAGATGAAAAACAACTTATTTATCTAGTAGGCTAGGCTATAAAAACAGCATGAAAAATCAACCTGAGTAAATGTATCACTTACATTATGCCTTCATAGTCCCTGAACACGTGGGTAAAATGACTAATTTGATTCATTAAGTCTTAATCCACAGGTGCACGTGTATGTGTGTGTGCGTGGCTCTGTGTGTGTGTGTGTGTGTGTGTGTGTGTGTGTGTGTGTGTATGGGGGGGGGCTCCGTCGTGACTCAGCTGACCAGACCTGTGGGCTGAAACAATCACTGACCATCTTAAAAAATACAAGTCAATTTAAGAACTGCATTTGCGACCATGCCGATATCTTTGAAGTCATCTACAGAGTCTGCAGTATCCTACATGATGTGAATGCGTTAGCAGTGATCCGGGTGTTTCCAGGTGAAAGCAGCGGACAGCAGGTTGATCTTTACCGACGCAGGCTGAGCTACGATGGTGAGTTGAAGACAAACTCCATATTATCAACTCTAATTTGTCATTTTTTAAGTGTTTACATTGTCTTGTTCAATCGTTCATCAGTTTTGATAAATGCTGTTGAATCTCGAGCTTTGTGGTGACGAACTCCGTCAATAATTCACAGTGTTATGTTTGTTCGCTTAGCCGTGTAAAGTAGGTACTTCATTAAAACTAACTTCACACTTTCCTGGAGTGGCCACACTGTGCTGGAAAATTCGGCATTGTTGTGAAACCAAAAGCTCATAAATTTAAACTTTAAAAATGAATTTTGGTTGCTCTATATTAAATTCCTAAACAATGTAATGATAGTCTTGAAAGGTTAAAACAATTTTGTATTGTGTAAGACTAAAGCAACAGCAACACAGTCAAAACAAAAGAGTCTGAATTAAAAACCGAGCTCGGAATTTGCAGCCTACCTTGAACATTAGTGAGGTTTTCTTCCTGCAGTAGCCCGCCACATTTTTTACGGAGTTTGGCGTCACCTCCTGATCACCGCAGAAAATGACCACATTTTGGAGATGACGTTTCTCTTTTATAGTTTATTAATATAAGAGTGCATGATCAGTTTAAGCTTAGGGACTACAATGTTTTGGGAATAAAATGTGCCTTAACATACGTCAGTCTGACTGAATACTTCCAGTTACAGAAATACAATTAAGAAAATTACTGTAGGCTATGTTATTGTTGTGTGTGAGTGTGAATTGCTAAATGTGTGTACAGTTGGATTTTTAGAAAATCCTACTGTATGTGTTAAACTACTTAAACAGGTAGACTGTGTGTGTGTTTGTGTGTGGCTGTTGTTTTAAAATGCACAAACAATTCATTCATGTCAGTCTGCAGTTATGAGTGGCATTGTGCAGGAAGTACTGCTGCTGCTTGTGTGTGTGTGTGTGTGTGTGTGTGTGTGTGTGAGAGAGTGTGTGTGCGTGTGCGTTTGTGTGTCCACTGTGAGTGTCCATGCAGTGAATTGTGCCGGTGTGTTTAATGGACATTTCTGCTGCAGCAGCGTTCTGGGTGTTACATAACAGGTTGTCCTCTGCATCATCCTGCAGGGCTGCCCAGGATTAAATGAAGACTTAATGCTTCTCCTTGGCGTCGGGGAGCACTTTGTGTGTGTGTGTGTGTGTGTGTGTGTGTGTGTGTGTGTGTGTGTGATATGAGCGTGTACGTCTCTGCTGCTTTCACAATGAACACACTGAGTGCTGTACTTTTATATGATGGAGG